AATCTAAATCCCAAAGGCGATACAAATACATGCACGGTCATTACCAAGTATGTGCTTGTTTCAACTAGTAACCTTCATATGGGTTAGATTATCTGAAAAGCCAATTTTAGGAAATACCACTTCCTGTCTACCCGAAGCAAGGCTTGGTTAATTGGTCTAACACGGGTAACATTATGCAGTAAACCATCCAGCTTAACAGCTGGAAATGTCAAAACTCGACTCTTCAATTTACGGAACGTCCTTAAGCAGAAGATGAGATGAAGATAACCCTGCTTTTGGAAGGACAAACGGACAAGAAAGCTTAAGTCGCTTATAGAGAATTTCCTACTGTAAGTCAGGATTGTAGACTACATAGCCCATGCATTTACATACCTTCGTATATGGTATATAAGTATGTTATCATCGGTTGGCAGCATATTGTTCTATCTCTTACGGCAATGTTTTTATGTCATACCGACAATGTGTATCTGTGTTATGATATGGCAAGTTAACGCACTACACTGGACAGGCTGTATATCTTTATTTTATTTGAACTTGAAAACTCTTACTATATATATGTGTGCAAATCTTGCTTCATTACAACATACTAATTTGAAAGAATATATTTGATTAAAGTGCCCACAGCGGCAAAGGCACATTACGCAATTTGTTTGGAACGAAAAGAGTGCCAGCTGTTCATGACGGAATGTGGCAAATCCTTCTATCAGGAAACAGTATCCTTTCTCCGCCACAAGCTATGTGGTCACAACTGTTATCTCGGTAAGGCTATGGGGCATAGCGTCCAAATTTGTTAATTAAAGTATTGGGGGTTACTTCTACCACATTCCACCTTGTCATAAATCATTTTAATTTTCATTTTAGTCTCTCTCTACCATCGCATATACTTCGAGATAACCCAGTCTTGGTCACTTACTGGTTCAGAAGGCCTCAATGCTACAGAAACGGGAGAACGACTATGGAATACAAAGTTTGCAAACTCATATTTTCTTTGGATTATTATAATGCGAAAGGTTCAAACTGTGTAT